GTTCCGCAGGAACATCTCCCCACGCCTGAACAAGATAATAAATCAGGTTCTTCGCGACGAAGGAGCCTGGCCGCAAGACATTATCGTGCTTCAAGACAACGACGACTTCCCGCAACCTTCCTCGATTGCCGGTCTCGTTACAATGAAGATTGGTCCGCGTCTCTTGGGCACATGGGGCTGCAATGGCAACTTCACCCACCAACGACTCCAGCCGATCGTCAGCGCACTCCTCATCCACGCGGGCTCTCGTCTCAGGAAGTCGTGGTTAGCCTCCAAGAACGTACTTCACGGAGCTGAGGGCCTTTGGGCTCAACTCAGATCGAACATGGAGCGTGAGTGTCGAGAGAACAGTGCTTCCCTGCCATCCTCCTGACGCTTACAGCAGACATCGCGAAGGAGGAATACGTCAAGTCCGCGGACCTTGAAGCAGTAATCAACCTCATATCGAAGATACGCCCGCACCTCGCTTGGCATCCGTCCCTCACAACAGAGGTGCAAGAGTATGAGGGCTACGTGATGGGCCTGTTGGAGTCAGTAGGCATCGAGATCGACCGGACTTTGGATCACATGAAGGACAAGAAGGGTTTCGAGAAAGGTATGTCACCGGTCGCCTTCCTGAACGGCGAGCTGTATGCTGACATGCTGGTGCAAACGTGCTAGTGACCGCCGCTCGCAAGCGAGGCTTGAAGAAGACGCTCAAACTTGCGGATCTGTCCCGTCAGGAAGACGTGACCTCGCTCCTCAATCGCGTCATCGACCACTTCAAGAGCCTCGAACCTCAGGGGGATGAAGACGCGGGAATCCAGCAGAGTGCGGAGGCGCACGACCAACTGCAATACATCGACAAGGAGATGGGCGACCTGGGGGTCGACAAATTCAACAAGATGACCGAAGAGGAGCTCTTCGACCTCCTCGACTTCAAGGACGGGCGTCCCATCACATGGTGTGAGTACATTGAGAAGAACGACAAGGTCAACACGTGGGGAAAGTCTGCCGCCGAAAAAGAGGAGATGAACAAGCCGGGGCCAACGCGAACAAAGGTCCAATTGAAGTGGCATCAGGCCGTCGGCGTTGCCTCTATTCTGGACAAGACGTTCCATGGGCCCCATGAAACGAAACCGGGCAACATTCTGCTCTGCGACGCTGTCGGGGTCGGGAAGACTTGCCAGGTCATGGCTACAATCGCGTTCCTCCAGGCTCTCTGGACCTGTGAGTCAAAAGTAGACGACACAGGGCGACCTTCATTGGTCGGGAGCAGTAAGTCCCTCGTATCCCATCCTATGCTTTTCTTCCTTCCGGGTCCACGTCCCTCTATAGCTATAGCTATAGCCGGGCTCCCTCGCCTTCCTGGACGGCAGGCTGTGGGTGCTTCCCTCCCCGCGGAAGTTACGGCTGTCGCACGACAGATCACACCCGCACTCGGCCTCCAGGAAGGTGAGAGCGGTCCCTGCTCCAGCGTTCGATGGACGACTGGGCATTCTCTCACCGACCCGGAAGACAACTAATCGCTTCCCCATTACACGCCTGCTGCCTCCCTTTCGTGTTTGGCTGATTCCCTTCTCATAGAGGACAAATCATACTTCATGGGGCACGAGAGGGTCCCGAACCTGCCGCATCTTCTCATTGTGCCCAACGCCGTCGTGGACCAATGGATCTCCGAGTTGAAAAGATTCAACGTCGAGGGATCCATGGATATCTTCCGTCTTGGCCCTTCTGCCGAGGCAGTCGCGCACTTTTTCACTTCCCCGGACTCGAAGTGGAACGAGTCGCATCAGGAGCTCATCAAGCGCGTTGTCGTCTGCCCCCATTCCGTGAGCCACTCAAACGAGAACCTTTTGCACTCTGATAATTACATACTGTTTCCAGGCTTTCAACAACCTCACGAGCCACCATTTCTACACCTTCCGCCGCCCGGCAGGAGTGCCCCCCGATACGCCACGAGACGTCCGTGCAGCAAGCCTCGAACTCGGCGCTTCGCTGTTCTCGCAAAAGTGGCTCCTCATGGCTGCCGACGAGATGCACGACATGCGTGGGGAAAATGCACGAGGGTTTGCTGGTGTGTGCGGGATATGGCCCCAGGCGGCTCTCTCGATGGGCCTCACCGCAACGCCAATTTTCAGCAAGCCGACGGTGAGTAACGCCCTCTGCCCTATGGACGGAGAACTCCTCTTCTCAATGAGCTCCCCAGGACCTACTAAACATCGCCCGGATGCTCGGTTTCCGAGGGTTCACCCTCGAACAAGGGCACGCCAAAGTCCGCGCTTGGATGGTTGACCACCGCGCCGCGCACACCAAGAAGAAGAACGACGATAAGAGGAACAGCGAGAACCTGCAAAGCACCCTCGACAAAGTAGTCCACGGCCGCCTCATCGACTCCTCTCTCGATCCCGCCATCCACACGCAGGCCGCCGCGTACAAGGCCATCCGCGCCTGGATTCCTGAACTCACGGGGCGTATCATCCGACGAACGCATTTCTCCCTACGATACGATGGTAAAACGATCAACAACATCCCCCCAATGACGAACGTCCACATACCAGTGAGATTAACTGCGGGCGAGACGGTGAGGCTGGACCAAGAACTCCAGAAGTTGAAGAGCACGGCGAGCAAAGCCATCGAGACGAATTGGGAGGTAAGCACAACTCTCGCCGTCCCCGAACGCGAGCTTCACGTTGCCACAGGAATTCCTCACGGGGTATCGCGTTACCCTAGCCTACCCTCACTGGACGGAGAGTTCTGAAAAGGACGGCAAGAAGGTCTTCACGCCGGTGAGCGACATCAATGATTGGCATGGGCGCATTGGGTCGAAGGCGCAAGCCCTCATCGACGTCATCCGGCATTATCTGGGGCACGACCAGGCCCTTCACCCCACGTCCGATGATGATGGCGTCATCACCTACCCCCCTCATCCCGCCGTCCCGGAAGGCGAGCGCCCTCCCCAGACCAGGAAGATCATGGTCTACTTCAACTTCACAATGATGGCGGACCTACTCGTCTCGGTGGGCAGCAGGAACCGTCTTCTCCGCCTTCATCAACACTGACTCTGTTTCTAGATCCTCCGCGTCAATGGAATCGAGGCTCTCTGCCTCACCGGCGGAATTCCCACTGATCGTCGAAGCGGGATTGTCCGAGAGTTCCAGGAGCGCTCGGACGTGCGCGTGCTTCTCTTCACGAGCGTAGGATCCACCGGCCTCAACATGACATGTGCCAATGTCATGATCCACTACGTAAGTTGTCTCAAAGAAAAATGAAATCGCTCGCAATCTCTGACTTTTGCCGCAGGACATGTCCTGGAGCGCTGTATACCAGGAACAAATCAACGGCCGCATCTGGCGTCTCGGACAGGAGACCGATGTGACCGTTGTTTACATCAAGGCGCTCGAAACGAGTGATGGGCTCATGCACCACCACGCAATGCTTAAGGGTAATATGACCGACACACTGTGGGCGAAGAAGCCCAACGATAGTGGGTCCCTTTTGCAACATTATCGGAAAGGCCTTTACTCACCAATCATGTCCAGCTCTGGAAGCCGTCCTTAAGGGGGAGCCCATCAGCTCCGTTGCGAGCGAGCACAGCGAGGACGAAGGTGCGGCTGAAGACGCCGACATTTTGGCACAAGTCAGCAAATCCCTAACCAAGAAAAGCGGCAAGAAGCGCAAAGGGAAGGCTTCTCAACCCGGGGTTAACAGCGACGACGAAGACGACCAACACGGGGAACAGAGCCAAAAGCGTCCAACAATACAGCTGCCCGACAAGTCTACCAAGGTCATCTTCCGTGAGCCGGGAACCAAAGACAAGGGCAAGGGGAAAGCCAAGTCCATGTCCATGTCGAAGAAAGGCACATCTGAAGACCCCATCGACATAGACAACGACGCACCGGTGAAGAAGCGCAAAGCTAAAGGAAAGGCCAGCACCGCCGTCCAGGGCGGCGAAGGACAGGCTGGCCCGTCGAAGCCGAAGAGAGGCAAGCGCAAGGCGGTAGACGAAGAGCCGCCTGTCGAGGGAACCACAAAAAGCGTGAAGCGGGGCAAGACAGACTTAGTACCCAATTCGGAGTCGCAGATGGTGAACCCTGCCCTGCCCTCGACCTCGACGTTTGGCAGCGAACAGGTCCCTGCACCGCCCTCGGCGTCTCAGACAGCGAGCCTTGGTGGTCCCCAGGTGCCCGCCCCCCTCACCCATTCGTCTACCCCCCCGACGAACACCAACCCCCAGGGAGGAGACATTCGGATGGCGTCGCCCGGGGCGAAGGAGACAGGTAGCCAGGATGCGGACAAGGAGATGGACAGCCCAGCTGCGGAGGGCCCGGTGGCTGCGGAGGGTCCGGTCGCGCGTCAGGGCGGTATACCAGCGAGCACCACCACACCCCCTGGGTCCCCCGCGCGCCCCGCTCAGCCCGAAGTCAGAATGGAAACGGACTCACCAGCACAATCCCCACCCGGGACACCACCGGTTGATTATGAGTTCCCGGCATGTGATGCTCCCTCTGCCTAAGCAGCTACTCCCTCATGTAAGCTCACTTCCTGTTCCTTATGCTCATCCTTAACAATCCAACAGACTGTCGTCTCGTTCACAATGCCCCCCATATCATCTTATAGTCGCATGCGGACTCCCTTCACTGTCCTCTGTTTTATTATCGTCCGCTCGCGATATGTACCTACTTGTCCCCATCCGGCTCTCGTGCGTGCTCTTTTGGCAGCTTTTCTTACTTGGCTCTCGCAATTCGTCGACAAAAAATGTAACATGAAATAGGATCATAATTTTGACAAGCCCCGTACACGGGTATATCAGGTGATGGAGGGGATAGGCAGAAAGGACCTGGGGGCTGTCGATGAAAGCCACTGGACGTCCAGCAAGTCAGTATCCGGCAATCGCCGGGAACGGCAAAGATAAGATAGGGCCGTCTGATAAGACAAGGAGGTCTGCATCGCTCGCCGTCCTGGAAGGCGAGCACACACGCACTCGATACTTGTCGTGCAATTGATTCTTTTCGAGTCTCGTTCCTGGGTCAAGATAAGACCGGGGGGCACGTACATGCTCTCCTTCCAAGAAGGCGAGCAAAGAGACGGGCGCTGAACAGTCGGCAATCGCCGGGACAGCCATGATAAAGATATGTGACGACAAAGATAAGATAGGCAGAGCCAGCCGCCTCTCGCCGTCCTGGACGGTGAGCGTGAACATGGGTTGGTGATAGATGAAGATAAGATATGGCAATCTGACAAGGCCAAGATAAGATAGCGAGGACGCCTGCAAACGCTCGCCGCCCAGGAAGGCGAGCACACTCCCGTTAGGTGGGACTCAGCACTGGTCGCCCAATCGATCTTCTTCAAATACCTCTCCGCCATGGTCATAAAACAAGGGGCGTGTACGTCTCCACTCGTGAGCGATTCACACTGGCCTGACAATGGTCGCTTGCTTGTGTGCTTCGATCTCTCAAACGTTCTCGTTGTTTAATTGCTTGTATATTAGAGTGAGGCGTATTCCCTGACCTCCTTTGTGTTCTTTGTTGTCTTTTTCCCCACAAACTCGAGGCCCTCCACGCAGACGACTCCAAAGAACGCAATGGCTCGCTGCAAGAGCGCTACCAGATCGCTGGAGTCCCGTCGAACTGGATCCAACAGTTGCACGAGCCAAGCTTGTGGATTAATACCACCCAGTCATGCAATCAGCTACCTGCACCTCGCCGTCTTCGAAGGCGAGCTGCGTGACACGCTGTGCCTCCGACCTTCAACTCGTCGTTGCAAAAGGCTGGGTTGTGAGAAAAAACATGGTTTCTGCTCCAAGCTCACACTTTTTTCTTTTCTCAATGTCCGCAGCGCCATTTCGTGGCAAGGTGCTCATTTTGAGCGGCAAGATTTATTCATTGACAATCTGAAAACTATCTGAACTTGCCTACTCCTCCTCAGAACTCTCCTCTTCTTCCTCTCGTAGGAAACGTGGACCAATCTCGGGCTCTGGTGCCGGAGGGGGGCCTGGAGGAGGCACAACGGAAGGCTCATCGTGCACATATGGGTTGACAAGGATGTGCGGCCCTGACTCTCGTGGATATGGGACACCCACAAATCCATCGCTGAGTCCATATATCCAGACGCGCTCGCCGTTTGCCGCTGGCAGCCACATGAGATCGCGTACTTTTGCCCAAAGCGCCTCTCGGATCTTGCCGGCCGTCTCATGGTCGACATTGTCGAGAAGGGCGGTGTAATGGAGGAAGTATTCCATGTACGGGTAGTGTTGATGGTATCGAGGTGGTTTCCAGTTCTTTATCGGAAAGAGGTGGTTGAATGTAGCAGTCCATTCCTTCTCCGACGCGCGCTTCCAGTGCACCTGTGTGAAGACGCCATGAAGCTCGACCGAGTTCATGACCTCGTTTTTCAGTTTTTCGCGGTCAATCATCTGGATATTGCAGTAGGTGCTGACGGATGACTCTGTCCTTCTCTTAGGACTACTGATCTTCTGAATGAGCGATGAGGCGAAAATACCCCAGATTTTATACTCGAGGATTTCGCTGACCATGTTAGTGCAGGCGGGGGTGATGGGCCGTGTCACGTCAGCCATGTCGGGCCCATAATGCGCTCCCATCGTCGGGACGGTCTTGTTCACGAACTCGGGGAACTCCGGCCAGTGGTCTTCATCACGGACTGGGGTTCTGTGGACAGTCAGACCTTTTCGAGCAGGTATAAAGTTGGCGTGTCGGGCACGAGCGGTTATATTGTTTCTTTGGGCAACGAGGGCGATTTCTTCCTGTGAACTACCAAAGACCTTCTTGAAGGTCTGTTCATCAAGTGCCACGGCAAGCGGGAAGCGGACGCAGTCGGCCTCAGGGGGAATGAAGAAGTCAAGGAGGTAGATGACATTATACTGCGCGAACGGAGGAACTCCATTCCGGAATTGCTGTGAGCCGAGGAGTTCACCAAGGTCCCCCTCAGGCGCGAGGACGTTGTCAGCTTGGCCATCCATTGTGAGGGGGAGCACGGCTTTTTGCACGTTTCTCCAGACCTGGTCGTTGTCATGAAT